TGACGTAAATTGTTAATTAGTGAGTTAAACTTACGAGGTCAGCGGTCGTGTTGATTGACATGTTATCAGTATCCTCAAAGTTTCGTTTTACAACCAGTTCTGGTTTTTCTATATATATTAAGAGCGAAAATATCGGATACAACGAAAGTCAAACTATTTGTTATTTTTTGGATACGATTTGAATATTAGATCTTATTTTTGCCGTCAATTGCGTGCGCCAGTTATCTGCTTAATTAAGGAAACAAAAACGTGGTTAATTACATGTTCATTAGTGGCAATTAACATAACTCTGTTTAGCTGGATGAAGAAAAATAACAAACAACAAACTTAGAGCATATAAAGGGCTGAGCAAAGTTTATTTTTCAGTTATCTACTCAAGCTTGAAGAAGTAAGAAAGCAAACGTTTGAGTTTAACTCGCCCCTTCGTGCATTTAATAAGAGATGGCTTCCAAGAAAAGACAAAACAGAACGCTGCCTCGACGGCCATCAGTTTTTAAACCGAGTTGGAAAACATCTCCTAAAGGTAATCATGGTAAACTGATAGATTACCTCAACTCCAAGATGACGAAACTTTTTTCAAGAATTGGCGAGGTGTTTCGAAAGAAAACCATCTTGGATCCCTCGCTAACGTTTGAAGAAACGCTTCCAGATGATGAAAGATTGTCCTCAGAGGATGACATGCTATCGCGGCAAATTACCAAGATCTACACCACTGAGACCGAGGAAATGCCAACAGAGACCGAAAGACTGCCTTCAGAAACTGGCGTCCCATTCCAGCGAGTGGAAACTTCACTAGCAATAACTGAAGAAATTTCACCAAAGGCCGGCGAATTAGGCGAAGAGGGCAAAACAGCTGTTACACCACAGAAAAGTCCATCAAACGGAGAACGGAGGAAATTCTGTGCAAACACTCCGTGCGCTACAAAATATTCTTTCCTTTTGGACCACGGAGTACAGTTAACCGATGCAGCTAAGGAATTGAGCGATGAGCAAATGAACTTGCTGTGGGAAGATATTTTCAAACCTCTTGATTTTTGCTCAATTTTACACGACAGAAGAAGACAACTTTCGTCTAATTCGGATATCGAGACGAATATGCATAATTTATTCAGTATTATTTAAACCCAACCTCATGACCCACAAGTGTACTGATTTTAACTATTTGATTATCATAGTTTAAAGGCATTCGTTTATTGCGTCCCGAAAAACCCTGGTATTACTCAGGCAAATGAACTATGTGCCACGGAGGAAGATTAGCATCCAGTAAATACAAAAAATGTCTTGAATTTTAGAAGTAAATACGGCTATTATCATTTGATTCTGTTTCTCAGTTGAGATTAGAAATTAAACTTAATAAACGAATGGTGAAAACCAACATCGAAATCTTTCTTGGAAGCTGATAACAAGCCTTGTATATTTAAGTAAATTTTGTAATTAGTGCAGCAGACTTAACGAACAATTTTTAATAAACTCGTAAGATGAGATACTATTGTTTTTCTCCTTGTGTGTCTGCCGCCATACTGAAACAGCAATTAATTTAACTTAATTAACCGATCAGCCCCTGATCAGCCGGATGTTTTAAACTAACTAGTCTGCGAGCAGGCTCACCTTTGAGTCACACGCACGAGCGGCGAAACAGCAAAGCGATCCGGCGCGAAGGAGTCTGGTGAAGAGGCGCCCAGAAAGTGAGCCTGCCCTGATCTCTGTAATTTTTCATTTCTGCTTCGTCTGAGCCAAGTGAAATACCATTGGTCGAAAAGCGGGAAAGGCGAGAAAACTGTCAATCTACTATGTTTGATGACGAGCGATTAAATCCCCATGGAGTCGGTAATTTACCGCACAATAAAAGACAAGTCGTCTACATTTGGAGTCAGAGGAGTTGAGTGCGCGTATTACTGATATTTTAACAAAGTTCCAGTCTATTTCTGGTTAAATTTTAAACTATAGAGGGAGCACGAAATAGCAGTTGAAAGTATGTTAATGAATCAAGACGTACTTGTCGTGTTGCCGACTGCATATGGGAAGAGTTAATTACTACAAACGTATGTGATTGCAAGCGGGCATGCGCAACGAAACAACACGAAGGCGTTTGCCCGTTTACCAGCATCATCGAAGACCAGACTGCCAAAGCAAGATCACTGGGAATCAAGTGTGTGTCCTTAGTAGACATAAAGTTTAACAGTTTTTCTTCGCCAAAACCTTATCAACAACGGATATCGCGCGTGCATGTTGTTGTGAAAAAGATTTACAATTTTCACTTTCTCGTCTCGCGGCTTCGCCGCTCGATTTCGCGCACGCGGCTATTAAATAACCAAATAAATGAACTATAATTACTCCGGCGCAATGCCACTTTTGGAAATGCACGAAACTAATAACATTACATAACAACATGGCTGTGTCAACTTTTCCCGGGTGGATTCTAGCCGAGTTGTGGATTTGGCTTTTTTGTAGCCTGTTTAGCCGCCGTCTTGAATTTTTCATGCAGTGGAAGACTGGAGAGAGAAAGAAAGTTCTACCAAGGGGGTGAACTATAGACAAGAGGAACGATAGGGGAGAGGGTGGGGCGAAGAAATTCTCATTTTTCCCCTTCCCCATCCCCCACCGTCTAACATGGCGGTCTAACATGGCGGTCGCCGACCGTCTTATTGGGGCGAGGTAGCGTTACAACCTTGGCAAGGTTATAACCCTACCTCGCCCCAATATGTGTTTAGCAATAATAATAGTAATAATAATAAAATAAAAAATAAAAAAAAGACGCTTGCACTGCAGGCTAGCTTTTTTGACGGTTTTCCTGGGGGTGCGTTACCTTCAAGTTAAAAACACAACAAACGCCAGCTATAGAAATGCCATCCAATTGAAGTTCTGCGCCCTAACACAAGTGGCTAAAGCTCTTTGCCGTCTAAAGAAAGCGCAACATCATCGCCACAATGCAAACGGCTTAACGGGGCGAAATGGCGGCCCGTTCAATCTCAGGGTTGTTTCATGTACGATAAAAGGCGACGCCTCCAAGAAAATCGTTAGACTCGCACCTTCATTGGACTCAATTATGTCCTCAGACAGACTTCCTTCGACAGCAGTTATAGATCGCTAAATCGACCAGCTCCTTCTCCGAGTCACCGATCGAAAAAAAATTCCGACACGCCACGTTCGGGTGTAGACTTGGCTAAACTTAACATTAATTGAAACTTGTGGTGGGGGAGGGAAAGGGGGGTGGTTTGGGGAGGAAAGGGGGTAACGATAAATGGAAAAATTGATGCCGGGTG